GCTCTTTAGGAAATCACCCAGGTGTCTTTATGAGGATTTTTTATATTTATGGGACAGTGTTGATATCTACTTTCACTCAGCTTTTCCAGCAATACTTGGTATTAAAGCTTTCAGGGTGCTTTCATGTACACCCATGGTTCTCTTTTTTTCTTTTTAAATATGTTTTTAGATAGAAACATTAACAAGGAAGAAACATCATTGATTGGCTGCCCCCTGCACACCCCCTTTTGGGGATTGAGCCCACAACCCAGGCATGTGCCCTGACCAGGAATTGAACTGGTGACCTCTTGGTTCCTAGGTTGATGCTCAACCACTGAGCCACACCGGCCGGGCACACCCAGAGTTCTTAAACCAAGGGTGGGGGATACAAGGGAGTGGTAGTCTATGAGTGGATTTCAAGAGTCTATGAACTCTTGGAAACCATAAGAAAACTATGCATGTTGGATTTTTGGGAGAGAGGAAGCAAAAGTGGTCACAGGGATAAGTGAGGAGTAGGTGAACTGTTCCAGAATGGACTTTAGAGCAGATTGTGAATTCCTTATCAATTATATGCAAAATGATATGAGACTACAGTTTTCTGATGTAAAGAGTTGACTCCATAGTTTATATTCTCAAAGGAATGATAACTGACCTAAGAGGTTAAGGACTATTGGATTAAAACAGGCTTCCATATTATTTATAGGGCCTAGACATGACTAGAAATGAAGATTCCCCTTTTTCTTCCCAGACCTGCTGTTGGCATACATGTTAAGGTATCTCACATACTAGCCTGCATGTCCAAGCTCAGTCTATCTGCCTCTCTCTCACACAGTCAGAGTCTAAGGTTATATCAGTTCTGAAGTCTACTTTCATGAGTATAGATCTGGGGATGAGGTACATGTAGGCCCTGGAATTGGGCCATTTAGGCTAGGAGGTTCAGAGTTCTGAGTTCCCAGAGCATGTCTAGAATTGAGGGGTGGTCACAGGTTCTAGGTGGGCACTTCTGGATTCCCTTGGGCTTCTCAGCCCATGGGAGGGACACAGCCAGATGTCAGAGTAGGACCCTCTCCCTGGGTTTAGGTAATACTGGTATTTAGTACTGTTCTTGAAAACAGGCCCTGTGAGGAAGTTGAGGGTTTTGGAAGACTTAGTCCCATATTAGGGCTGAAGAAAAAGGATGTGAGGATGCTGTGAAACCTAAGTTTTTGTATTTTGTTTTACATCTAGTCTAGTTCTTTTTCCACTTAATTCTCAAAAGGTGTGCTATGAGTCCTAGCCAGTTTTGCACAGTGGATAGAGTGTTGGCCTTTGGACTGAAGGGTCCTAGGTTCAATTCTGGCCAAGGGCACATACCTTGGTTACAGGCAGGATCCTTGGCCTTGGTGCAGGAGTCAACCAGTTGATGTGTGTCTCTCATATTGATGTTTCTCTCTGTCTCTTGACCTTTCATCCACTCCTTAAAAATCAATGGAAATATATCCTCCAGTGAGAATTAACAAAAATAAAAATAAAAAATAACTAAGATGTGCTATGATCGGTTCTCTATGATCTGGATTTAGCTAACCTGGCTATGCCTATATCTGGCTTTTGGGTTATGTAGACTATAGATTTAAGGGAAGAAAAAGGAATTTGCTCTGTGGTGTCTCTTCTCTGGTATGTGTTGGATGTATTTAACCAGAATGATTGAACATTTAAAAGTTTATGTAAGATTTAAATAATTGGCCTTAATCTATAAAAAAAACTGTGTGTGCCCAAGCCAGTTTGACTCAGTAGATAGAGCATCGGCCAGAGGACTGAAGGGTTTCGGTTTGATTCTGGTCAAGGGCACATACCTGAGTTGCAGGCATGATCCCTGGCCCTGGGCAGGGTGAATGCAGAAGATAACCAATCCATGTGTCTCTCTCACACTTCTATATCTCTCTCTCTCTCTGAAAAAAAAAATCAAGGGAAAAAACATCCTTGGTTGAGAATTAGCAATAAAAAAGCTGTGTGCAGCAGAAACTGGTTTGGCTCAGTAGTAAAGTGTCAGTCTGTGGACTGAAAGGTCCTAGGTTCGATTCCGGTCAAGGGCATGTACCTTGGTTGCGGGCACATCCCCGGTAGGGGGTGTGCAAGAGGCAGCTGGTCGATGTTTCTCTCTCGTCGACGTTTCTAGCTCTCTATCACTCTCTTCTACTCTCTGTAAAAAATCAATAAAATATTTTTTTTTTTAAAAAGCTGTGTGCATATGGGGAGGAGTTACTTAATTTGGGTAAAGAAATGTGTTCCTGGGAAGAGTTGAAAGTTCATAGAATTTTCCTGAATAGAATTTTGTTAAAACTTACCATAGCTTTGGAATTACTCAACATTTAAAATACCTGAGATAAAGGAAGAATGTTTTTTATAAAATAACCATCCCTCTATTCTGATTAATATTATAATATTAATTATAATATCAGATGTCCCAAAAATGTATACACACTTTGAGTAAAAGAATGAAACAAATTGAGCTATCAACTTCTAGTAGTGTATACATTTTTGGGGGGTGGGGGAAACACCCTATATTTATATCAAGATGGATTGTGCCTGAAGAGGCTCTTGGTTAAGCTTATCAGTGAGAATAAAAAATACCAGATTTCAAACTTTTCTTAGTAATATGAGTATTATAAAAGGCTAAAAGCCAACATCATACCTCCTTTTCCCATATACTTATCTTTCAATTATGTCCTACCTAATCTCTTCTACCTACTGTACCCTCTTTCAGGGTCCAGGCTTGTGTCCTCATAACCTGTGGTTCTCAGGGAGAAAACTGCAGGTGATTCCTACTGAGTCAGCTTGGAAAGTGGAAGGTGAGCAAGCTTTCTAAGACTGGGGAGAAGAGACCTTTCAAAAATAAAAAAGGCAGTGTCTCTGACCTTTCATTGCTCTGGTGTCACTTCTCACTCTATGCAAGATGGCTTGGGCTGTGCAGTAAAAATGTAAAAAGGGAGCCTTGGCTGATGTGGCTCAGTTGGTTGGGCATATGCACAGAAAAGATTGCTGGTTTGATTCCCAGTCACGGATATGTCCAGGTTGTGGGCTCAATCCCTGGCAGGGGTATGCAGGAGGCAATCAATCAGTGTTTCTCTCTCTCCCTTCCTCTTCTCTCAAAATCAATTTAGAAATCATATGTATTGTATATGGAGAGAGAAAGAGGCCTAGAGCAGAGGTGGGGAACGTCTGACCCTCTCAGGCCATTTAAAACCTATGAAATAATTTTGTCTGAAGCATTGGGGCTGCATTAATTAAATATTTTGACCAAATATAGTAGGCTAACTTTTAAGTTAACAATTCTGTGTGGCTAACAAATATAAATATTCAAATGGCCCTCGACCGAAAAAAGTTTCTCCACCCCTGGCCTAGAGTGTTACCAGCCTAAGGGCTGAGGTGTAGAGAGCTCTAGAGATACCCCTAAGGAGGGAGGAAGTCTTAAAAGGGATATCCTTAGATGAAGTAGACACCAAGTGGGAGGCAAGATAATGTTTCCCATTCTTGCCCTAACTGGTTTGGCTCAGTGGATAGTGTGTCCTCCTGCAGACTGAAGGGTTCCAGGTTTGATTCTGGTCAAGGGCATGTACTTTGGTTACAGGCATACCCCTAGTGGGGGAAGTGCAGGAGGCAGCTGATCGATGTTTCTAATTCTCTATCCCTCTCCCTTCCTTTCTGTAGAAAATCAATAAAATGTATTTTTTTTTAAGTTTCCCATTCTTGGGGGGGTTTTATTCATCGAATGGGAGATCCCTTGCCTTTTCTGCTCCCTTTTAGCTTCCTAAAAAGCCTGTTGACTACTGCCTGCCAACTACATTTGATGGCTTACAGAGGACACTGCCTTTTGAGCTGTCTCCAATCTCTTGATCATCAACGGGAAAACCATACCAGTGGAGATATTGAATCACAGACACATGATATGAGGCTGGGAGGTGAGGGGGACCACATACCACTGGGTCTTTCAGACCACTCTACCTTTCCTTATACACTTAGGGCTTCTCCCTCATGGCTTTCCCCACGTATTTCATATCTTCAGGGATTGTGTGTTCCTCTGTATTCACAATCTGTAGAAATGTCAGGCATCAGAGCTTTTATGTGTCTAGGCCAAGTGTCTCTTTTTAAATATATATTTTATTGATTTTTTACAGAGAGGAAGGGAGAGGGATAGAAAGCTAGAAACATCTATGAGAGAGAATCATCGATCAGCTGCCTCCTGCACACTCCCTACTGGGGATGTGCCTGCAACCAAGGTACATGACCTTGACCGGAATCAAACCTGGGACCCTTGAGTCCAGAGGCAAACGCTCTATCCACTGAGCCAAACTGGTTAGGGCCCAAGTGTCTTTTATATGGATGTTTAATGAGTCCCTGGGTGTGGTGGTGTGAGGAGTTAGAAAGCTCAGACATGAAAAACATTTAATGTTCAGAGTAGCAAATGAAGACAGCTTGCCCATTTGCATTTTCCCTTTCACTCTGACTCATCTTCCCCTCTCCCCACCCTATTATTGCCCATCTACCAGCCCCACCCAATGGCACACCCTGTCTGATGTAGGAAGGGTTAACATCTGCCTGCACCCAAGCTAGAACGAGAGGTAGAGGGAAGACTAGTAGGTCTAGAGGGAGAAAGTAGAGGCTGGTCCGAATATTTTGGGGTCCTGGGGCCAAAGGGAGAAACAGGAGTTTAGAGACATAATATTTGAGTCTAGGAGAGGACCCAGAATCTAAGGGAGAAGGCTGGAGAGTGGGGGGAAACCAGAGAAGCCTTCCAATGCCTGACTTGTTTATCTTTGTTATTTATTGGGCATATATGATATGCCAGGCTCATATAAGTGATTTATCATTTGTCAAATCAATGAAAATTTGTCATAGGGTGAAAGATCATGGAATAATATGAAAAAGAAATTTGAGTTTCTCAGACCTCATCCTTTCCCCAAGTTAACAAGTGCTAAAGTGAAAAGAGAGGAAATCTCCAAGGACCTTGACTTTTTGGGCAGGAAGTGAAAGAAACCCCGGAGTTCTGATTTCAGAGAAATGTAATTTGTCATCAACCCAAGAAAAGGAGTTTTTCTCTTCAAAGACCACTACAGACCCTTTTGGGGTTACCCCCGTCGGAGTTTGATGGGAGGATCTGAGTCACTCACACACAGTCCTCAGTGATGGCTCAAATGACAGAGGTCATTTCCACAAAGCAGTCAAAGCTTCCTAGTATCAAGTCAGGCATGCTTTTGGGCTCTCCTTCACTCTCTCTTTGGAATCCAGACATTTCAGTCCTTTTTGCCTCTAAGATAGCAGAAACCGCTTTCATCTACTGGAGCTCTGCCAACACCTCTAAGAAACAGAATTAATACTATTTGAGTGATACTATGTACTGACAAACCTTTTTCACACTCATCATTTCATCTTCACCCCCATCTCCAAATGAGATAGGCAGAGGTTTACCCTATTTCATGGATGAGGTAAGAGAGGGAGTCTGAGAGATGATTTGCCCAAGGTGACTCAACTAGTAAATGGCAGAGATGAGACTCAAATGCGGATCTGATTAGTTCAGAGTTTTTTATTTGCCTCCGATACACTTCTTTGACTCTAGAAGTTCACAAATGAAATAAGGAGACAGGTTAGAAGACAGAATGCCCGGATTCTAGAATAAAAGGGGTGATCTCTTCTGGAGCGATGAAGCAGAGCCAGGAGTATAAAACCACACCCTGTGGGGGAACTGTGGCAGGCTGATACTTGGGACATCCAATGGAAGATTGTGAGGTCAGGGGCGGAGTTATTGGGGTAGGGGGTGGGCAGGAGCCCAACAGAAGTTCAGAACATGCGGTGTTCAGGAGGAAGCTACAACTGGTGAGTGGTTTCTTCTCCCCAGCTGAGACTTTCTTCCCATTATATCCCTTTCTGTCTACTTCCTGCCAACCTATAGCCCTCTCCCTGAGGTGACCAAGTAATAATCCAGCCTCCCACAAGAGTCCTCACCACATCTAGGAATATGCCTGCTGGGTATTGAGACACTTGGGTCTATCTCTTTGTATCTGTGTTTCCAGTTCTCTTCTTAAAAGCAAAAGTGATGATTTTGATGTGTGAGAAATTCCTGTCCTGTTGGGTTCTTTTTATTCTTCACCTTTGGCTTATGAAAAACAAAATTAAACCATCTTCTTAACTTGAAAGGAAATAGCCTCTCCTCTATAGTTCTCATTTCCCTTTCTCTCACGTCCTCTCGGGTCTAGGTCTTCTTCCAAACCTCTCTCTATCCTTGGATCAAGAGCCTTCTTTCCAGTGATTTCTATACCTGCTCTTAACTCACTAGACAGGCATTTTCAGTCTCTTCCAGTTCCTTCTCTAAGGATGTATTCTAGATGCTTCAGCCTCAAGATGATTGATGCCTTGGAGCCTGCCCTCCTGCAACTATGACCCTATCTATTGCTGATTTTCTGCTTCTCAGAACCCTCAGCTCCACGTGATAGACTTGTGAAGGGAGCTGAGGGTTCTGGGTCCTCTCCTAGACTCAAATATTATATCTCTAAACTCCTGTTTCTCCCTTTGGCCCCAGGACCCCAAAATATTCAGACCAGCCTCTACTTTCTAGCTCTCTAAACTCTCCCATGAAGCTGTGTCTTGCCCCATCCCTAACTGCCAGGGATGACTGGGTCTGGAGGAGATTGCTTTGTCTCGAATGAAGGAAGCCTGGCCTGCTCAGAGGGGCTCAGAGAAGAAGCATTTAAATCAGAGATTGCTAATTGGCAGAATCCATTTACACTAGTCTTAAACCCACTACTTAATATATCAATAGTTGTTAACTACCTGATCCTTGCTTTTAAGTCCTGACATTGATCTAATTTCTGTTCTCTTGCCATTTAACTCTAGGCCCCTGGCCTGTTATGGATTTGGATAAGCTCAAGTCTTCTCTTGGGTTAGTTTATTTGCTCCATTCAGGACAGACTGCTCTGATCCAGAACAAACAACTCATTCTTCCTTCCTTCATCTCCACAGGCTTGAAAATATGCTGTTCTTTCCTCCCCTTTCCACCATGGACCTCGAACTGTGGCCTTTGTCTCAGAACCTCTGAGATTGGTACCCAGGCAAGGCAAAAATGCCCCTGTCCTCAACAAGACTGCCTAGCCCCTATCGCTCTGATCGGCTGGTACGGCTAGCAGCCAGGCTCAGGCCAGCACTATGTGATACCGTTATCACCGTGGGGAGCCAGGAATTCCCTGCACACAGCTTGGTGCTGGCAGGTGTGAGCCAGCAGCTAGGCCGCAGGGGCCACTGGACTCTGGTGAAAGGAATCAGCCCTTCCACTTTTGCACAGCTTCTGTACTTTGTTTATGGAGAGAGTGTTGAGCTGCAACCTGGGGAACTAGGGCCCCTTGAGGAGGCTGCCAGGGCCTTGGGGGTGCAATCCCTGGAAGAGGCATGCAGGAAGGCTCGAAGAGACAGGGCTAGAGTAGAGTTTAGTCAAGGGCTGAAGGAACATCAGAAGCCAGAGAAACCCACAAGGGATTCTGAGAGTGAAGTGGGGGACCTTGGAGAGCAGAGACCAGAGAAGTTTATTAGAGCTGGTGGGAGAGAACAGGAGACGGTGCAGGAGCACAGGCCACTGAGAGAGAGCTCTGAGGTAGCAGAGACAATGAAGGAGGATCAGAGGGAGCTTATGAGATCAGAGGAGAAACTCGACCAATCCCTTTTTGACCACGGTGGGAAACAAGAAGTGATCACGTGGGTGAAGGAGAGTCCAGGGCGCGCTGAGGAAAATTTAGGGGAGTTGCCTGGCCCCCCACCCCCACCAGGTTTCCTCCAAACCAGCATCACCTCTAGGCCCTGGTGGGCTGAGGCCCCTTGGTTGAGGGAGAGCCAGCCTGCCCTGTGGAGCCTCCTGCTATTTGCGCCCAGATATGGCACTCCTTTCTCCCATAGTACTTCCATCACCGCAGCCTGGCAAGAGGTCTGGCCTCAGGATCAGAGGTGAGTGAAGGGGTCCAATGGAAGCCTATCTGGGAGGGAGTGGCTCAGGCAAGGCAGTGGTGATTGGTGAAAGGGCACCACATCTTTTATCTCTATTGTACATTCCTGAGCTGGAGATAAGACAAAAAGCTCCCACCACTGGGGAAACCAAAGCCCAGCACCTGAGAATGTACATCACTGATCCTGGGTTAGTCAGGATCCCAGGTTTTGCCAACTCTGTTCCTCTTCCCCACCCCACCCCAAGGATCCCACTGTCCCTGAACTTCCACAAAGGGCTCTGGAGCCAGAATCAGTTGGCCTCCTCTAGCTCTACCTCAGGTAAGCCCTTCACTGTCTGCATGAACCCTGGAATATGGTCTCTCTGCTGGGGTGGTGGCTGCAGGAGTCCAGCTTGAGTAGGGCCCCTACTTCCCTCTGTTCTCTCCAGGTTCCCTCCCCCAGGGCCCCACAAAGCTCAGCCCTGGGGAGATGGAAGAGCCTGATCAGAGGCACTCAGGTGAGTAGAGTGAGGATGCTTTTGCTTCTGTCTCATTGTAGCCCCTGACATCTTGCCTGGGTGTTCCAGTGATCCCGCTCTGGGATTCCCAACTCTGCCTTCCTTTGTTCCCACAGGTGAACTTCCAACCTGTATGGGTCATGGGGGCAAAGCATGCTGTCCATCTCACCAACAGCCTTTCAGGCCTCCTCCTGCTCGGTCCAGGCCCTATTCTTGTTCTGTCTGTGGAAAGAGGTTTTCACTCAAGCATCAGATGGAGACACACTACCGAGTTCACACAGGTATGGGCACCCTGCCCAAGCATTGATTTGCCTGCCCCTAAGTCCCTCTCTGCTGCCTAGCTCCCACACAACTCCCTTGTCCAGTTGCCCCTGATCTACCCTTAGGCCGCCAACCTGTGACCCTTGAGTCCGCAGGCCCACGCTCTATCCATTGAGTCAAACAGGCTAGTGCTTTGCCCCTTTCTTATCTTCATCGCCCTTCCCCTCCACCCGCCCTAGGAGAGAAGCCCTTTTCCTGTGGCCTCTGTCCCCAGCGCTCCCGGGACTTCTCGGCCATGACCAAGCACCTGCGGACACACGGGGCTGCACCCTACCGCTGCTCTCTGTGCGGAGCTGGCTGCCCCAGCCTGGCCTCCATGCAGGCACACATGCGGGGCCACTCGCCCAGCCAGCTCCCGCCGGGATGGACCATTCGCTCCACCTTCCTCTACTCCTCCTCCGCCTCTCCCTCCTCGAGGCCGTCCTGGGACTCCACCTCCAAGTAGGTTCCCTGCCTCCTCCGACGGGATGCCAATAGCGTCTTTGGCTGCAGCTAAAGAATGAAAGATATAAAGACAGGCCAGCGGGCTGGCTAAGCTTCTGATCCTGCACCTGGCTTTGTCAGTCTAGCAAATTCGGCTCCAAGAAGCATCGCAGGAAGGGCGCCGAGAGCCCTCTCCCAGATGACCAAGGACAGCACAAGCCTGGACTAGCGATCCCGTGTGGGGCGAGGGCAGTGAAGTATGCACAAGTGAATCTTAACTGTGTGGGGACTGTTGATTTCATTACTAAAATAAAACGTTTTCTGTGCCTTACTCTCCGGACAAGAAAGCCGAGTCCAGAATTTAGTCTGTGCGGGTTGGGGCGCGCGCAGCACGGCCCCTGGTCCTGTGGCGGCCCCTCGTGGCCGCACGTCCGCTGTTCGGCGCGGCGGCACCTCTTCGGTCCCCCGTCCGCCCGGAGGCAGCGGATCGGAGGGCCCGATGTTCGGGCTGACTTAGCAGCAAGCCCTGCGGGGGGTAAGCTGTAAGAACCCAAGTTCCTGCCCTTTCCACGGCAAGCAAAGGCGCACGGAGTCGGAATCTGGGGGGTCCCTTGCCCGGGATCGAGGAGCCGCGTACTCCACTCTGCTTTCAACCACCCGCCTCCTAGCCTGGAGGACAGGGCCCCGGCTTCTGCGGCATCTTTCCTCCACGCTGGCCGGGTCATCCCTGGAACTGAGACGACCCTTGGCCGCCGCCCCTTCCCCAGCCCTAGCTCCTGCAGACGCGAACTTCGTTTCCCGGAGTCTTCGGGCTCCCAGCGAGGAAGCCGCCGCACCCTGGGAGTGGTAGTTCGCGCCGGCCGCCGGCCTGCAGCAGGACGATGGGAGGAGTCTGGGCGGAAGCCACGCCTCCCGGCGGCTCGGGGGCTCGCTTTCTCTCTGGGTCGGGTCGGGACCCCTGCAGACCCAGCTCTCGCGGCCCTAGCTCTCGGCGGAAGGAGCGCGACGCCTGGACTACATTTCCCTGAGGCCTCTGCGCCTCACCCCGCTCCGGCCGCGACGAGGGGCCTCCGCTCCCGGCCGCGGCCTGAGGTGCCGGCCCGCCGGCCGCGGACTCCCGCTCCCGTGGTGCCCCGCGCGCGGCCGGCCCAGCCCCCGGCTCCCGCCAGCCCCGCGGCGGCGCCGGTAGTTGTCGTGAGCCGCGGCCGCGCCGCCCCGCCCTCCCCTCCCCCCCCTGCGCTCGGCCGCCCCTCCCCCGCCTCCCCGGCCCCTCTCACGGTGCCAAGATGGCGGCGGCGGCGGGCGGCGGCAGTTGCCCGGGGCCTGGCTCCGCGCGGGGCCGCTTCCCGGGTCGGCCGCGGGGCTCCGGCGGGGGAGGGGGCCGCGGCGGACGGGGCAGCGGGGCGGAGAGAGTGCGGGTAGCTCTGCGGCGCGGCGGCGGCGCGGCTGGGCCGGGCGCAGCCGAGCCCGGGGAGGACACGGCCCTGCTCCGTTTGCTGGGGCTCCGCCGGGGCCTGCGCCGGCTCCGCCGCCTGTGGGCCGGCCCGCGCGTTCAGCGGGGCCGGGGCCGGGGCCGGGGCTGGGGTCCGAGCCGGGACTGCATGCCGGAGGAGGAGAGCAGTGACGGGGAATCCGACGATGAGGTGAGGCGGTCGGAGGCGTCCCCAGCGCCGGGCGGGGCGGAGGCCGGGGCTTCTAGAGGTCCGGGCAGCGGGGTCCTCGGGGCCCTGCGGGGAGAAAGGGCCCTGGAAACAGGCACGGGAGAAGGTGGGCTGCACGGAGCTGAAGGCGAAAGGGGCCTTTCCAAATGCATAGAGAAGCCGAGCTGCAGCTGGGCTCCAGCCCCTGGCGGGTCTCCCTGAAGTGCCCTGGGCTGGTCCTTCTTGGCAGTCGGCAAAGCTGGGGCAGCCGAGGTCTGGGCGAGGGGACCGCGGCGAGCGCAGGCCCGCCCAGGGGTGGTTGACAGCAGCAGCTTGGCTTTCGTGGACCCGGGCTGGGGCGCTCTGGGCGCTCACCTGCAGCTGCCCCGCCCAGCCCCTAACCTCTGACACAGCCCTGGTTTCACTAGTGCCCCATTTTCTCTCCTGACCCAAAGTGGGGAGAGGCTCGAAGGGAGGAGGGCTTCCCCTTAGGGGCACAGGTTGAAGAGAAATGGAATGAAAGCCGAGACTGGGCACTCTAGCAGGTCTGAGTTCAGCTCACGATGTACCCTCGCCTCTCAGAAAAGGCAGGAAGGTGTGGGGATCCAAATGTGATAAACCATTTGATATACATACACACACACCACGCTTGGGTGGTCCTGTTCCCATCTTCGTTCCGAAAGAAACTAGGGGGGTGCACACAGAGGCCCCGCTTTTTTCTTTGTTGGAGTCTAAGGGAATCAGGGTACTGCCTGCTGCCTGGCCTGAGAGGACCCTGTTTTGTTTTCTTCTGAGCTGGTATGGTCTGGCATAGGAGGTGGAGGTTCATAATACCCTGTGTCTTCCTGCCCAAGGAGA